GAACATGTCAGGCTTCTTTGGGGAATATCATCTGCAAGGAGGCTAACCATAATAGCTACCTTTCACCCACCGAGTACACATTTCACAACTGCCCTTTGTCTCCACCTGAGAGATGAGCAAACAGATTCAAAGACGTGGGCACGTATAAGCAGCCTCCCAGAGCCCCACACCCCAGGTGGGCCTGACCCCAGTGCTGTTCTTTCTTGTCCGTCACACTAGTTCTTAAAAGACAGAAATAAGGATTCTGGTCTCCAAATTACTCCTGAATTGGGCCCAGAGGGATCAGGCTCCCTAGCTGCAGGCAAATAAAAAACACCAAAGAAAAAGACTCGGTCTCAAAAACCAGCTTAGCTCAGAGATTGGTTACGCAAATTCTCTGTACATGAAACAGCTTGTACAGTATGTCTGTACGGTGTTACCATGTACAGTATAATTCTATCATGGGTATACGTATAGCTGTGTGAATCAATAATGCTTGTTTATGCACAAAAATTGTCAGCAATGGTTACCTCTAGAAAGGTGAGAGAGCTGTGGACAGTTTGAATTTTCTACCGTGAGCATGAAACTTAAGTTCTTATTTAAAGAATCATAAAGGAGGGAGAGAGGGAAGGAGCCTGGTTTATCTGAACACAGAGACCACTGGTTTTCAAACTCAGCTACACACTGGGATCACCTGTAATGGCCAAGGTCCCACCCTCAGAAATTCTAATTCAATCAGTCTGGTGTATGACTGGGCCACCAAGCGTTCTGAAGCTCCTGGGTAATTCTAACGGGCAGTCAGGGTTAAGAGCCACTCTATTAGTCCCTTAGGACAAAATTTAAATTGCAGACAAGGAGAAGGGTCTTAACCTTTTGTGTGCCAGGGACCCCAGGGGCAATCAGGTGATGCTCCTGGATGTCTCTTCCAATTAACTTTTTAAAATAAATAAAACAAGAGACACTTCAAAGCAAACACATCATACTTAGATTTAATTACAGTGTTTTTAAATTGTGATACAGTGATAGGAGTGTTTCTTTACTAATATGTCAAGTAACAAGACCTAAACATATTTCTGTGGTCTGCCATCATTTTGAAGTAGTGATACATGTAAATAACATTTGGAGGTATCTGCAACAACTGATGTAGGATATGGATTTATTGGTGACAAAGTTGGGATTCTTCTAACACTAGTTTGTTGCCCATGTTCATAACTGAAGAAAATGCCAAACTTCAGTTAGAATTTATCATATATAAAGATGGAATTTTTTTCCCATCCAAGCTAACAGATTCCCAGATACAGAAGGAGGAGGAGAGGGTGATGTTAGAAAACAGAGCTCTATTTGGGATTAGCAGATACACACCACTATATGTAAAATAGATAAACGACAAGGTCCTACTGCATAGCGCAGGGAATTATATTCAGTAGCTTGTAATGACCTATAATGCAAAAGAATGTGAAAAACAATATATGTGCATATCTGAATCACTACACTGTACACCAGAAACTAACACATTATAAATTCACTGTACTTAAATTAAAAAATAATAAAAAAAATTTTTTAAAAAGAAAACAGAGCTCTAGGATTCTCTTCTCCCAACATCGGTCCTACTACGGAGGCTGTAAGCTCTCAGACAGAGGGAAGGGAAAAAAAACTTCAGCCCTATCACGTGCTAATTTCCAGTAGAGGCTGTTTTTCCTTTTTTTTTTTCTTTTCTTTTTTTTTTTTTAAGTAACTCTGTAAGGTTCCTTCAAGACATGAAAAATGTACATTTCCTGAAAACTAACTCCACTGTATATTTTAATTACAGCAATATTTTTCAAGTACCACTTCATGTGAAAGGATCCCTGTTTCTCCCACTAAAAAGACTCAACTGTTTTATCTGCCTCAAGACATCCATCACATGAGTGCCAATATCTTGGGGTTTAAATGGAGGTTTTTGGAAACTTTCTAAGTGTTCGATCAATAGGTTCTTTTTCATACAGGGCTACACTGCCTGCATAGAACCTGAACTTTTTTTTTTTCCTTTAATCTGAATTTAAAATAGCATTTACCGTGTATGGGGTGGCTGTCATGCTGCAGGGACAGTGCTAGGCTCTTTTTCTGAAAGAGTCCTAATGCTCACGTCCATGCTGTGATACCATCCCACCTTAGTATCACAGAAATAAAATGATTAGGAACTCCAAAACAGAGCCTGATGTTAAAATCAGGAAGAAAAAAGAGGAAAAGAAAGCCCAAAATATATTAACGTCTGTGTTGAAAGTCCAGTCATAAATTAAAATGTAGTTATTTTTAACTAAACAATACAGTATTTTTCTGGGGTGGAGAGGGACAGCCACACCCATGTATCCTAGCAACAGACTGAGCTCAGTAATTCAAAGGCTTATTTTTCCTCATAGCCATCCTTCTCTAAAGAATGACTTAAAACTTCTTTCATTCTTCATTCATGAACTATACAACACTCCGGTTAAATGCAGAGAGATCTGCACAGGCAGACCAGCATGCAGACACGTGGCTGTCCAAGAAAGCAGTCGCCAGTATCCAGAAGCGAGAGAAACCCAGCCATGGAGACAGGCACCCAGCAATCCCGGAAGCCTAGCCTCTGTAATGTCCAACAGGTTGGGGAGGGTCCCCTGGCCACAAACATCATCATCATCCTCCAGTAAGAAGATTCCCATTCCATAACTACAAAAGGGCTTTTGCAATAATCAGGCTCAAACATTTTGATTTGAAATGCCCTCAGAACTCATTTCCTTTGACTTAGTGTCTGACGTGGGGGAGAGGGTGGCATATTTTGTTTTCTGCCCCCTATGAAATCAGTTCCTCATGAAGGCATTTAATGAGAGGGGAGAGGCTCATAATGAATAAGCTGTTTCAACATTAACCAAACACCTTAACAGAACTTCGGAATCCCTAAAGTCTCCTTAAAACAAATAAAGACAAAATTGAAAATAAATTAGGAGTTCAGGATTCACAGACACTACTACATATAAAAGAGATACACAAGACCTACTGGATGGCACAGGGAACTGTATCCAATATCTTACAATAACCTATAAGGGAAAAGAATCTGAAAAACAACAGATACATACATGGATATGTATAACTGAATCACTTTGCTGTACACCTGAAACTAACACAACCTTGTAAATCAACTATGCTTCAGTAAAAAACAAAATAAAACAAAACATAATAAAGGCTGAGGAAAGGAACCACGAAAGAGAGATCACGAGGACATGAGTGGCAACATCACATACCAGCCCAACAGGAAGTCTCAGAGATCACCCTTTATTCCTGCCTGTCTCCTCCACCAGGGTGGAAATGTACAAGACACAAGCATAGGCCGAAACTCGGGGTGCAGACGGGGGTGTTAAGGAGGAGAAAGAACCAGTATTTATTGAGTCCCATCAAGTTTAAGGGACTTCCACATGTGTCACTAACTCCTTTAATTTTCCCCATAACCTTATCAGATAGACAATCACCTCTCCAATTTGAAAATGAAACCAGAAGTCAGGGAAGTTAAGCAACTTGCCCAGAAGCACACAGCTCATAACGGCAGTCAGAACTGGAAGTCAAATCATCTTGGTTCCGGACCAAGCTCTTTCTCCTGCCCCTCACTCCTCAGATCTTGAGTTACTTTTAGCTCAAACTTCAAGGTTCAGGAAAATGTTATCCCAGGTTCCTAAAAAAAACTTCCCTAGGTCATAATCTTTTGGGGAGAGGGAAAGAACATTAATGAATACCCAGAAGTCAGAAGAAAAGGAGAAGAAAGGTCCAATTTGAAAAAAAAAAAAAACTGGGTTGGGGGTTGGGAATGGATTTCAGAAATAACTGGCGATGATGAGTGTTCAAGTCCTACAAGGAATACGGTTTGTGATCAATTTTAAAAGGTGATCTGCAGAGCACAATGGGTTTGCGCAGAGCCAGTCACTCCAGGGAAACCTCATGCCCCTTCTGGAAGATACCTCAAGTTGGTCAACCAGGCAACAGTGACAGAGACACGGAAACACAGGGCTTCTGTTCCAGCAAGCCACGTGACCTGGTCTCCCTTGTGCCATCACTCCTTAAGATGTCATCCCAGCGCAGGGAGGTGGTAGCTCAAGTGGCAGAGCACACGCTTAGCATGCCCAGGGTCCTGGGTCCAATCCCCCAGTGCCTCCTCTCAAAATAAGTAAGTAAACCTAATTACCTCCCCACAAAAAATTTTTAAAAAGTCAAAAATGTCATCCCAGGACCTGTCCAACCTCCCAAACCAGTATCCTTCCCAACTACTTTGGCCACTCATCCCATTAGTAAAAAGTGAACATGCAACCCTAATATATGCTAGTCTGTTTAAAAAGAATAAATGTAAATATTATCAAAACATAAGTCCTTCATTTTTAAGGAAAAAATAACTAAGTTCAAGTTTTCATATTTTCCTCCCATATCCCAAAGGGCTACCCTGAGTACCAAATGTTGGAAGTCACTGCTCTGCGCCTGCAACACTGTGACCACTTGGAGCCCAATGACCGTCACCTTCAGCCGCATCTCTGACCTCCTGTCTGGGTCAGCTGTCCCGGTCTCCACTCCCAGTACTGATGAACTGCTCTTCACGCCCGAGAGTCCAGGGTTCCCTTCTTCCCATCTTCTTCCGGTTCAGAGCCAATCCTTTCCTTACCTCCCTGAACCATTTATTACCAACGCCCTTTCCCCCTTTCAACCCTCGTCTTTCCACTGTAATCCCCCAGCGAGATCCCCACTTGTAACAACAAACTCAAGCACATGGTCTACCTCCTCTTCTGCACTCGGGCGGACCAACAGAACCAGGAAACACAGGTGTTCCCAGGTGACTCCAGGCCCTCGTCATCTGCAGGCCCATTCCCATCAGGAACTGGGGCTTTTTCTTATCCTTAGCTCCATTTCCCTTTCTCCTCAGCCAGCGATTCCAAACCAGCACCCTCTTCCACACTCTACCTCCAGGAGCCACCTGACCCTCCACCCCATCCATCCATTACCATCCTTCCATTCATTCCAACACTTACTGAGGTGGTTGTTCCAGTACTAGAGAGACAGGATCGAATCTCACAGCGCTCACTCCCTAGTAAACAAATCTATGTCAGGTGCTGATGTGATGAAGATGATGAAAATAAAACTTACATCACAGGGAGCAAGCAGGGGCCAGAAAATCCTGTTCATCAGATGTGACCCACTTTGCTCCCTTTCCACTTCTCCCACTTCTGATTTTTCTTTATTGAGTAAAATTCATACAACATTAAATTAATCATTAAAAATGAACAATTCAGTGGCATTTAGTACATTCACAATATTGTGCAACCATCACCTCTGTCTACTTCCAAAACATTTTAATCACTCCAGAAAGACACCCCCACAGACCCATTAAGCAGCCCCCCCAACAGCCCCTGGCAACCACTAACCTGCTTTTTGTCTCTGGGGATTTAGATATGCTGGTTATTTCCTATCAGTGGAATCATAATGAGTCCCCTCCAATCCTGACAACAGCTCCCACCTTCCTGCACCCCACTTTCTCCTCCTCCAAGGCCACCCTCTCCTTTGTGTTTGTCATCCATCACCTGGTTTGTCAGTCCTGAGGCCCCAGGTCCTCTCCAAATCTTCTGAGCTGGCTTTCTCTCATCCCTTTAAAGAAACAAAACAAACACCCACCTTGACCCTACCTCTTCTTGCTCCAACACTCTCCTCCTCTTCTCAGCCCCTGACTCAGGATCTGCAAAGGTCTGCAGAGATTTGCACATGGACAAACGCAATAAAAACTAAGGGGACCTCATCTCACCAAGGCCCTCTGGTCCTGTGATGCACGTGACCTTGGATAATTATGATCGACACTGGGTGCCTCACTTCCCTCCTCTGCTAAATGGGGATCAGGGTAGCACTTACCTCATAGGGTGTTTATGAAGAACACTTGAGTCAAAGCATCCCAAGTGCTCATCCATGTGCCAGGCATGCTGTCAGGGCTCAAAAATCACTACTGAGGATGATCAGTTCCATAAAACTGAGTCCGGCTCTGCTCGGGCAGGACCAGGCCACTCTGTCCCTTCCCCGGGGTTCTTCTGGGCTCTGCTTCCAGGGATTGGCTCTTCCAGGGTAACACTATTTTGGGGATGATATCATCAACTTTCCTGGCTTTAACCACCACCTGATGCAGGCAACACCTAAAGCCCCATTTACCCAGTCCTCCCCTCCGGCTCAGGCCAGCTGTGCCCTAACAGAAGGGCGGGGTGGGGGCGGTGGGGAGGGCAGGGCATCTGTGCAGGACATCAGTAGCCCTAAGACCTTTGAACTCAATACACCCAAAGTTAAGGGTCACCCTCCTCTCCACGCCTCTAGCCACCTCTTCCTGGACCTTGACTCCAGGTGCCCAAGATCTCTCCCTAGGATCACTGCAGTAGCCTCTCCCCCGCCCAATTTCATTCTAGTTTTTTCTAGCCCTCATGCTGTAGCCAGAACACCCCATAGGAAATCTAAACCTACCCATATCACTTCCCTGCTTAAATTCTTTCAGGAGCTCACCACTGTTCTCAGGAGCAAGCCCAAATGCCTTCCCCGGGAAGGCTTCTCCTGACCCCACCCCATCTCCAACAGCCCTGCCTCACCTTCCATGCTCTGGGAATAGCTGACAGCTGGGGCGATGTTACAGCTAGCCCGCATGGCTCCTCTGCTTGGTATGCCTTTCCCACCGGCTTCTCCCACATTCTGCACATCTTTCAAGGCTAAGTTCAGATATCACCTTCTCAAGGAAGGTTCCTCCGATGCCCTAGATTGGACTAAGCATCCTTCCTGTCTGACACTAACTGACGTTAGGTATTTACGGGTCTGTTTTCCTCCTTAAACTCTGTGAAGACCCTGTTTATCTCATCCATCCATCCATCCATCCACCCATCCACCCATCCATCCACCCCCCATCCACCCATCCACCCATCCACCCATCCATCCAACCAACCATCCATCCACCCATCCATCCAACCAACCATCCATCCACCCATCCACCCATCCGTCCACCCATCCATCCACCCAACCCCATCCATCCACCCCCCCCCATCCATCCATCCAACAAAAATGCCGCAAGAGCCTCCACTGGGCTAGGCACTAGAAATACAACAGGTAACAAGACAGATACGGTTGTTGCCCTCAGGCAGCTGACAGTCCAGCAATGGAGACCATAAGAACCTACCCCCTAAATACACACAGCAGCTGCATGGAGCCAGGCTTCCAGGGTTCAAATCCTGGCTTCACCACTCATTAGCTGTGAAACCTCAGACACAGGACTTCATTTCTCCGTGCCTCAAAATTTAGAAGAGTCATACTACCTCATGGGGTTGTTGGGAGGATTAAAAGAGCTAACAGATGTCAGTTAACAGGAAGTATACATAATGCTGCCTGGCGTATAACAAATGCTTTCCGAGAGTGAGCTGTTCTCTGATTGACACCTGGAGCACTTAAGACAGGACCCCGCCCTTGATGTAGGACCAAGTGAGGCATTCGCCTTTGCACCCCTATGCTCGGGATACAAGTGCTCAGTCATGTTCACTGAGCTACACTGGGGAGCCCTGCAAAGATAGTTCAGCATCAAAGACTCACAGAGCTGGGAGTCAGGCTGCCTCACACCTGACCCACCTTGCCCACATCTGCGCAAGAGCCAGCGGCTCACAAAGCTAGTTAGCGGCAGGGAAAGCACCGGCCCCCAGCTGCTGCCCCCTGCCCTCCTCCAGGAAGACTCTGGTTACCCTGGACGGCACAGCTGCTCTTCCCCTTCCATGTGCTCTTGTTTTCCACAGCAGAAATGCTGATCCCAACACCTAGGGTGCCTCCTTCATCCCCCAGCCTCCCCTCCAAGCTCGTTTTCTTTTTCTCTCTGTCTCATGGCCTGTGGTTCTCTTATTTCCAGGGGAAAATCTGGCCCTTCAAAAAGACCACCAGACATCGTGGTCTTCCTCAGGGTCTTCGGCAGCTCAGACAAATCACAAGGGCAAGTGCAATCCCTGAGCCTCCCAGTTCCTCTTCTGGTCTCACTGGTCCCTCCTGATGCAGGAAGGCTTCTCTTGCATAACCAGAAAGTTTCATTTTGCCGACTCTGGGTGTCAGTCTTTTTTGGGTGCTCCAAGGTTCAGAAGCCAGGTACCTCAGGAAACTGGGTGTAGAATGGAGGCCAAGTGACAGCTCTCATTTGAAAGCCTGATCCCCGAATGTCCAGCCCAACACATAACTCTGACCCATCTGCCGGACTGCTTTGTTTTCTAGCCATGGCTTTTGAATGGCAGGCCATTCTTTGGCACTGCTGACTTGACGATGGCAGTCCAGCAGGACTGTTTTAGAGGCCAAGGTATTACAAAACTGCTTTGTTAGGAAATTTTGCTTTCACACCTCAACTAGCCTAGGAGATGGCAAAAGAACATGACACAGTGAAAAAATAAATTCTGGGGTGCTGTGTGATGTTCTTTATTACCTTCTGTGGTTGGGCTGAACTATCAGTTACAAGTTTCATGCACCTTTGTGTCTGCACCTCTGCTGAGTGTGTTCACACACACGTGTCTGAGGCTCACAGCAGCACAGTGGCTTGTCACAAGCCAGGGTGTCCAGTCCTGGGAGTGCCATATATTCAAGGGCTGGGGTTTTACCTGAACACCTCACAGTAATGATTACACCATACAAATCTGCCTTGATGATAACCGTCATGGAGAGAGCGCTAAAAACAGGGGTAGTAAATTTCATCTGCACACCTGACTATTGAAAAATCCATTCTATTACTTTGTATCGCAACCACTGGCTATGAAGATGTTTGCCCTGAAGATGAGACTTTTGTGAGTCCTTCCTTGACTTTCTTGTAAATGCTACAGCAGACCCATTCTTTTAAACAAAAAAAGTGGAAAACCATTTTTTAGGAAGAGAAACACCATCCGCCTTCTCAACAAAACCCTTTCTACATTTTTATATGAAAGAAGATCTCTAGTAGATCTTTTTCTTGCCAAAGGGAACTTCTACCTAGCCTAAGAGGAATTTCTCTTTGGTGCTATACATAGTGAAGAACTCACCTTCAGAAGTTTATTCAATAAGTGCATTTGTAGAGGAGGTAGCCCAATTTAGCATCTCAAGGCGAGCAAGGTGATTCCCAGGAACTGGAGACCTGAATTAAACCCCCTGATCTGGACCATATTAGTAGGAAAACCATATGTCCCCATTGATGCCTGTCATCCCAGCTTCATCATTAATTTAATTGCACCCCCTTTTACTCTCAAAAGTGTTCAGGTTTGGATGATAAATTATATGATCACCTTATAGTTCTGTGAGTCTCTGCAGGCAAGACGCAAACTCCCCATACTTCGGTTTCACATTTACTCAACGAAAACCAAGGATTCTAATTTACATGGTTGTCATAAGCATGGAATTAGACAGTGTGCTCAAGGCTTGGTTCCCAGGAGTGCCCAGTATTCCCTTGAACACCAGCTGTGTGCTC